GGGGGGGGGGAGTGGTGGGGGAGCTGGGAGCTGCCACTTCCCCTCCACCCGTCCGACGCCTGCAGCCCCTGCAGCCAGTCCATAGGCAACCCAACGTACTGGCATGTCTTAGCGTGGACATCCGGCATAGTTTCTCTAATCTAAATTGGTAGGACTATGTACATCAATATTGCTACCAGGAAAACATGGAATCCCATCTCCATCCAAAATAATCTGCAAACAAGCAAATTTCATTAGTTTTGCCTGTTCTGCAATTCTCTCTCATAATTTCTTGATCGTCCAGTTCATTACCCACCTATCAATGCGTCGAAGTCCATTCTCTTTGTCAAGTTTCCCCTTCAAGGTATACTGCCAAATTCCTGAAATCAGGTTAACGCAATCTTTTCTGGGATCTAGGCTATCAAGATCAAAATCAAAATTTTTGACATCATCAGGATGCATGAGTCTCTGTAGATCCCAGAATTTCGGTGTTTCGAACGTAATGTGTGATCTTTCAGCAATGGGGACCAAAGCAACTTCTGCGGCTGCTATTTTTCTATAAACCTCCATAAGCCTGAAACAATGCCATAACTTTACTATATTTTCAGTCAACATTTTGTTTGAATGTGCGATTGGGAAAGGACACCCTGGAAGGCCTCACCGAGGTTTCTGTCCAGACAGCCGCAGCAGTGTGTCCACGACGAGGCCGAACATGATGTGGTAGACGACGTGCATCACCTGGTAATGGAGCCAGCATGTTGGATGGATGAAGATCGGATACCTGACGGCGCTGGTAAAAGGCACGGTTCGAATCGTCGTCGCGTTGTAGCATTCACGCATTTGCGCCTCCGTGACGGGGTGCACTTCCTTGAGGGCCGCGTTCACCACGGGCAACACGTCGCTGACAAATCACGAAATGACCAGAGCGGTGATTGGCGCACTGCCGTGAAGCAACTCTGTAGAGTCAGCGGGCGTCAAGCGTGCACTTGGGTAGGAGCTGCACACACAGTAGGGCTCTCAAAACCCGGACCGGCGGCGGGAACTCGGGTAACCCGGGTAGGAACCGGGTAAACGGGTCCTGACGGGTAACAGCGGGTAACCCGGGTAGACCCGGTATGTCAAATTGCCTACCTACAGGCGCGGTTCCGCCGGTTCTACCCGGGTACCCGGGTAAACCCGTGTTACCCGGTTAGACCCGTTTACCCGGTTCCTACCCGGACGGGCGGGTACTCGGGTTACCCGGGTATGCGGGTAAAAGTGAGAGCCCTGCTGCACAGTACACCGCCGCCCGGACCCGCACTTACCCGACGTCCACGTACTCACCTCCCCAGTTGCTTGGTGGCCTTGGCCCACGCCGCCACGATGGTGGCCTTGGTGACGATGTCGACGGGCATCCAGTCGAAGCGGATCTCCGGCTTGGACAGCTTGCTCACGCGCAAGACGCCCATGTTCGCGGTGGCCCACATGGTGGACGGGCTGTTGAGGTTGTCCAGCCAGCCTGGGAGGGGCTCTTTGGCCGCGCCGATCACTGCGGGCGGGAGGAGGACGAGAAGCGAGGGGGAAACGACTGTTAAACTTTGTGTCAGCCGGATTACAGATTACCCGGATTACCTCCGGAGTGTCCTCCGGATTACGTTGCTTTTTCTCTAGGATTACCCCGGATTACCCGCAAAATTTTCCCGGATTACCCCAAAATTCCCCCGGATTACCTCGGATTTTTTAGAATTTCCTCGGATCACCCCTGCCGGATTACCTTTCGGCTGTCAGCCGGATTACCTTAGTCGTTTCCCCCTCGACGAGAAGGCTAACTAAGTCTCAGCCCGGACGCGGGTCAGAACGTCGCGGCGGTCGGGCGGCTGCCTCACCTATTGAAGGCCTGACGATGACGATGGGGACGGTCGCGGCCGCATCGGCCATCGCCTGCTCGGCCAGCGCCTTGCTGAAGGTGTACGTGTTGGGTTGGTGGCCGAGAAACCTGCGAACACCCAAAGGACTCATCCCGAGCTCTACTTGTCGAAGGAGACTGGTCATAAGAGTCCCGAAAGCGGGACAGTGGGAGCGAAATGGCGGCCCATGAAGCTCTCACTCCCATTCGCCCATCGGACGCCACGGCGTGGGCATGTAGTCATGCCCGGTAGTACAGGGGGGCTTCTCGGGAACCACTTGGAGAACGTGAACGGGAACGGGAACGCGGCGGAGAAGAGAACGAACTGGTGAACGCGCCATAAGAGCTAATGAAGGACGTTCGTTCCCTGCGGCCGTTCCTTCACGCGTTCACGGCACGAGTCGTTCTCTCACTTGGTTGCCGTGGTGAACCCCCATAGGTGGTCTCGGCACGAGCCACCAGCACGATGCCTTACTTTTTCCCTAGAAAGTCCAGGGTGGTCGCCGTGTCGGCGTTCTCCGAGAGGGCGATCACCGTCCGCCAGTCCAGCTCGGTCGGGTACAGCCGCTCCTGGACCCGCATCTGGTGGGTGTTCGTGTAGGCCGTCGAGACGTAGACCAGCGTCTGCAAAGCGACACGAACGTCAGAGAGGCGAGCCATGCGCGTGATCCGCGTAGGGTAGGAAATTAAAAAAAAAATATCCGGAAAATTACCTAAATCTTCCCGTAAACTTCCGGGAAAAAAAAACGAAAAATTTCCGGGGTCTGGGTTTTATTTCGGAAATTTTCCGTTTTTTTTTCCGGAAACTTTCCAGGGCTTCCAACCCTAGCTCCGCGCGCTAGGCGAGGACGCGGTCGGACTCACCTGCAGCTGGCGCATCCCGGCGCAGAGGGCGGCGACCTCCCTAGCGCCGCGCGTGTTGAGCAGCACCGCCTTGGCCACGGGGTCGTCGAAGCGGACGGACGCGGCGCCGTGGAACACGATGAACACGCGGTCCTGGAGAATGGCGCGGTCCTCGGGGGACAGCCCGAGGCCCAGCTCCGCGCAGTCCCCGGCCACGGGCACCAGCTTGGAGATGGCCGTCGGCTGCTCCCGGCGTAGCTGGTCGAATAGCTGCACGCACACGGAGTCGTCAGGGTCGCGCCCTGCGCCCGGCCCACCCGGCCGCCAGACAACCTCGTCCAACAACGTACCGGCACGTTGACGATGCCGGCGACGCGCTCCTCAGGCGGCACTCCGCGCTTGGCCCGCAGCAGCAGGAACACGGTGCCGATGTCGGGGCAGCTGCGCAGGAGCTTCTCGAGGAGCACGCGGCCGAGGAAGCCCGAGCCCCCCGTGACGAGCACGTCCCTGCCCGCCAGCAGCTCCGCCACGCTCGGCACGCCGTCGTACGCCCCGGCCGCGACGCGCTCCTCGCGCCCGGCTTCCACACGCTGCAGCCGCTCGCGCAGCTCGCCGTGGAAGATGGCCATCTGTAACCGGGGCGAGCTTACATCAGACGAGCCGCACCGCATCAGGCTGTCCCCCAAATAACGCACGACGCACTCAACATCCAACGACCCGCGGAACAACGGAAACGTCTTCACATCTTTTCCTCAGAATGATAGCCGCATTACTTGCCGAGTCGGTCGGTCGAGCCGCTGCCGCCGTCACTTACATCGATATCCATTGCTAACCGGTGTAAGGCCCGCGGAGCCCTCGAGACGCCCTGTGCCGAGGTAAGTAGACACTGACACCAAATCCACCAAAGAATACCCCGGCGCCCACGGTACTCGGGCCACCTTGGCTAAAAGGATTAGGTTAATGACGCACTACTCATTGACCTGAAGCTCACCCTAGGTACAGTCAGAAGAAGTGCATAAATCCGAGCGGGGTGGAGGTGCAGATCAAATGATCATTAGATCCCGCATGAAAAACGTACTCTAATGGCATCAGTTTGTCATCGCGCCGATGACACACGGATGTCAGACGGATGACGAACTGATGACAAACTGATGACAATCTGTGGCAGACTTGTACGTCATCAGCTTATCATCCGTTTGCCATGTCACACCACTGTAATTGAAATTGTAAATTGTTCCTTTACAGAAGTCCATTGACTCATGGGGTCCCATTAAAATGTAGCACGGCTTCTTGTGATGTATGAGAATGACAAATTGAATTTTGAAAAAAAAAACAAAAAAAAAACTAACACCAACCCACTTCCGTTTTAGGTCATTGGATAGGGCTTATAAAGTACTCCAAGAATCATCTACGTTCGGTTCGATTAATCCAGATGTACCCTTTCAAAACTAAGAAAAAGCCTCGTTTTTTGCGGACGATCGTCCGAAAGTGACGTGTTGGAATTGCCCTGAGGAGCTATCCGTGCGAGTACATACTGTTTGAATTTTAAAATTTGGCAAAGAGAAAGATATTTGTATCCCCCCCCCCCGTCTCTAAAAGCAAGGGTGACTGTTTCTGCAGTTTCCTCGCTCGCCAGCAGCAGCCGGCTGAATGCCGCCACAGAGGGCACCGGCCCGCTATAGCAACCAGGAGTCTCTGCCGCTACAAAGGTCAGATCAGGATCAGGCCCAGTTCAAATATACGGCAGCCGCGGCAGTAGCTGTCACGGCGCAGACGCGGGTGGCATAAGCCTAAAGCCTGTGAGGGGACCTCGCAAAAACTACGTGCTCTTTTCTAGAGGGGGGGGGGGTCCAAATATCATGGGCTCCAAAAAGGTTCAAGGGGGTCATTCATCCGAGCATGATACCCCGGGGTATAATTATCACGAGATCCCGAAAATCTCCAAATGGCCGTTCTGGACCTTTTATTCGGACCCCATAATATTGGTACCCCCCTCTCCGAAAGTCAAGTCACGTGGTTTGTGCACGATCCCTAACCGGCGCAGCAGAGGCGGGCATCCGACCGCGTGGGAGGAGGAGGAGGAGGGGTGGGGGGGCATCGGAGGGCATTCCGCCGCATGCTCGCGGTGCGCGTGCAGCCGCGGTGCCGCCCGTGGTCCCAGACGGCTGCAAATATAGTCGGGCCGCTACCGGGGGCCCCGCTACTGTACTTGCCGCCTCGCGGGCGGGGGGCACCTGTGATGCAAGCCCACAATGCGTTACGCCCCTCGGAAGCTGTGTGCCCGCGCTGCGGTATCAGCCCCATCTTATCACGGGCTCCCGAAACGCCCTGTCTGCAAAGCCTCCTCCTCTCTCTCCTGCCTCACGACGCGCCTAGCTCGGCACAGCGACCCCCGTCTCCGCCTTCTTTTAAATAAAATTTTGAGAAATGACGTCGTCGTCGTCGTCGTCCCCTTTCCCCGCGCGCACAAGCTCTTCCCAGTGAGGGATGGGCATATGTCGGAAGCGATATTGAAACGATGAGGTGGCTTCAAAACGACGTCTTTTGACGGTCATTTCTTACTGTGCGGTGTATTCTCTGTGCAAATTGCCCCAAACTCTACACATTATAGGCTTTGGAGGAGAAAAATCAGAGGTTCGACTACCCGACACGCGCTGTAATCATTTCATGCAAAGATATTTTGTTGGATGAAGGGTACAACAGGGCATATGGGGGTGCGTCAACGATGAACAGTTGCCGCTCACTTGGAAACATTTTACCTGGGACGTCACTTTGGGTCGCACATGGGCGACGCGCCGCGCACGTGGACCGGCATTAAGAGTCTCTCGTCTGGGCTGCGGGATGCCGGGCCGCGCGACGACACACACACACCACCTCTCGGCATGGCGGGAGATTCAAACGGCCGCGGGTTGCAAAGTCACGACCCTCCGTGAAATGATTCCTCTCATTCCGATACGGCGTATGTGCGGTTTTCCCCCACCAAGACGTGAATAATTACGTGCCCAAGCGAGAGGAGGACGAGGGAGTACAAATTCCCATCCATGCCACCTCCCCCAAAGAAAAAAATGAAAAGAGGAATTATTGTTATTACTTTATATCATTTTCGCACAAGCTCGGTGTGGTGGGCGGGTGCCTTGGGGGCGATACTTTACGAACGGAAATACTTTGATGAAATCAATTCTGCCAAGTTGTTGCCTGGGTCACGTTTGTACCGTATTCCCTTGGCGATCCGCGCGGCCTGCGCCTCGGATACAACTTTGCTGCTCCTCCTCCTGCTGCTGCTGCTGCTGCTGCTCCTGCTGCTCCTGCTGCCCGCCCTTCTGCTCCTCTCCCCCCACCTCACCTCATCACTTCCTCGCGTGGGGCAGAAAAATGAGCAGAGAATGAAGGTAGCAAGTTTGGAGAGGAGACAACTTCCAATTCGGCTCAAGTGTGTTTCGGTGCACTGATTGCCTGGCTCAATGCCCCCCCGCCCTGCTCCGTCGAGTGGAGTTACGCGGAGAGTTCTTTTGTCTTATTTCAGTCCAGATTAATTTTATTACTATTTTATTTCTCTGGCTGCGCGCCGCCGAGAAAAAAAAAGGATAAAACAATAAAACAAAATGCAAGGAATATAAGGTAAAAGAAAAATCTATTCCTTTTATTGTTTTGACGCAGCCGCATGGATTACTGAGGTGTGCGAAGTTTTACACGGGAAGGGCTCTGATTAGGATTATTAGCGGGCGATTAAGCCCGTGGAGAGCCAGTGAAGAGCCAGCCCACCGCTCCCGGCAGCCCGCCGGGGCACACATTACAATGCCCCTCAGAGCAGAGCCCACCACTCTCCACGCCGCTCTCCCAGCACACTGGAGAGTGCGCCGCCGAGCCGCAGAGTGGCGAGTGGCGTGCATGGCGTGCTCGAGGGGAGTGCGGCCCGGCGGGGATGCACCAATGCCGCCACCCCCACCCATGCCCCACCTCCACCTCCCCCAC